ATTATTGCAAATATGCATGGTGTGATTGTAGTCTACTTCATCCTTTTGGTTCTCTTTATATGCATGAACGTCGTTTTCCTTTTTCTTATCAATATCAGTTGCGAGTCAACGCTTGTGTGGCCTTTGTTTCTCTCTTCTGTTGTTCTGTCCATTGTGTGCTGTTTTACACCATGCCCTCATTAAGTACGGTCACAAAAAAATCATCACGTGACGCCACAGCGTACATGACGTTGTGACACTTAATGTTTTCTAGACTTAAAGAATCGATGGAATGATTTTCATACTTTGCGCAAGTACCGCTTAGATCGGATCCCTGTCGTTAATGAGCTGTGAAGCACCCGTTCGTTTTTCGACATACGCGATCGAATTCGATTTTAGCTCGCTCTCTGAACAAGCGGCCACGTAATGCGAAGGTGATTATATGCCTCCACTTTTGATCATAGCCACGCCCTGGGGTCGGCAAGGCAGAAGACAGGCGCTGAGTTTCAGACGTTGTTATGATTCCACTATTGTCGACATTGCAGCGATTGGACACGGGCCACAACCCAAACGCGTCTACAGCTATCGATTATCACGAGCCCTAATCGAGTGCCCACGCAGTGCTCGGGTCCAATCTATGAGCAGCATTCAAACATCATAATTGGGCGGTACGTGACCTCCCAGCTACGCCATCAAGTTTTGCGAAGGAGAGATGCAATGAAAACACTCCCTTTTGTCTTTGAAATTACACCGCTATCAAGAAATTTTTTGTCCAGTGCCGTTTCTTGCAAGCACCCTTGAGACCCACTAATGCCAGTAAGGTCATATAAAGTGAAAAACATTCCAATTGAATATCGTTGCACCGCCCCTTCAACATTCGAAATCACCTAACATCGTGAAAAAGCTGGGCAATGTGACACCCGGATGCCAGAGTTACACAATGCCACGTGACCCTCTTACGTAACGGCGTCACGTGGCATAGCTCTATGACGTCATTATGTCGCTCGATATCACGATGTCCCGTGAAATTGTGACGTCATGTTACTCTGACTTTATGAAATCGCGTGACGCCCTAATGTCGCGTGACGTTCAGTCATGTGAACACGTGACGCCACGTTATCTCCCACACACAATATGTGCCCAGCTCATTCACAGTTACATATTTAGTGCTCTCCGGGCTTTTTTAGACTTGGTCAAATTAGCGTAATCTCTTCAGACCGATTATGAATATGGAAACATTTTCTATAAGTTTCGACTCCGCCGTTTTGTAAGGCTGCCTAAAAATGTTCCGTTGAATTCTGTCTTGCACGATTATTCCCAGGTTGACCCTGCAATGATTCTGGTCCACAACCTTTCTTATTTTTTGAATGACACCAGCAAAGTTTTGTCCGTCCTGGTAAACAACGCAAGCAGCTTGCTCACCTTAACTGTGAGTAGGCTTTCATATTTGTTGGATGCATTCTATATTAAAACACATTTTACAAAAAAAAAAGACGAAGAAACATTATAATTATGGAAAAACTTGCCCCTAATAGGCACCTTTTAAAATTAGAATAAGCAACACTGGCGGTCGCCCTTTCTTGGGCACGCATCACGGGATTTAATCAGAGATCTTGCCGAACGCTGTCGCGAGCAGAGCCTATTTCACGCCGAACACTCACGTGGCCCTCGTATGCATTACACGTTCAGAATGTGCTCCCAAGCAATGGCGGGCCTGGATAATTGGTGCATTAGGAACTATACGGCTCGCATTTTTGAAAAGGGTCTGCTACAATACAAAGCCTTTCAACATAGAACACCCATGAAGAACCGAGATGAAATAGCAAGGACCTTCTTTGCTAAATGAAAAGTAGTCCATTTGTTGTACGAGTGTGGCAAAACCAGTGGTAACACAGAACGTGATGTGTTAGTGTGGAGAAACTGTGTACAGATGTGGAGACTAGATGACAAGAAGCGCCCCTGTGGCGTGCAAAGTAAGCGCGTGAGCACTTCGTGGATGTCGTAAGGCCCATACGCACATTTCCGTTTGAACGCGGTGGGTTGAGTAGCGGCAAGCGGATGCGTAACGTGGCGAAGAGCGCTTGCGCAAAGCTTATACGCACAGTTGCGTTGACACGCTGTCCGACCACAGTCGAGAACGAATAAGAACGCGCTATCGTCACTGGCGGCTCACTACTAGTGAGCGAAATCCACGGCAACATGGTGGCGCCCAGTGACTGTGTCGAAGTGGTCGATCTTGGCAGATGTCACTACATTTCAACCGGGTTTCCCGACATTTCGTCAGGCTCGAATTTTTGAGCCTTGGGCAAACTTGCTCCCGCAGTCCCCGCCACTCCCCTAAACGAAAAAAGCAAGTTCCACGAATCGAGAACCGGATACTCATCGCCGAGTGGCACAGCGGTAACGTGACCCTTTTTTCATTTTTTGGTGTCTGCTTTGACTATCGTGACGCGCACCCGCTTCAAACTTCAGCATGCTCAGAGCGCGCCGTTGCACGACATCGTGCTTCGTAGCGCTAGTCACCGCTTCCTGCCTCAAAGACGCCGGTCCGCGCTCAAAACCGTTAAACGCGAATGTGCCTATGGGTCTTATTTATTCGGAGGTGCCATCTTCTGCGATTGCGGTGTAAACGGGACTTCTTTAGAGCCTGTCGGAATGTCTGCCGCAGTAGACGGAGTCTGCGGAAAACATGATTATAGAAACGCGACTGCGCCGAACATAAGCCGTGTCTCTAGCTCGCGGCGAAAGAGAAACCAATACTCGGAACTAGCTGAGCTCGTTGCGGCAAAGGAGTTGATTTTTTTTTCTCCGGATCTCCCTCGCTCTGTCTTGCGGTCTTTCATTGCAGACTATAACGAAAGGGTAGCCCAATGTTTATGCTCCCGTCAGCACGCAATTGCATCGCGCTGGTGTACCGCGTTGCATTGATTTTTATGCCGCCTACTATTATGCATGAAAAAAGAGACATGCAAAAGAACGAAATACGAGCATATATAGGGGCTGACAATGTTAGTTGTGCGCAACCGGGCCCTCCGAAACTCGCGACAATGGGAAGCAAGTTTTAGTCGAGAAGAGGATTATCGGAAAAAGGTTCAGTATGGCGTGTTGTATGACGTCAAGGGTGACGATTTGCCCCTTCCGCTATCCGCCTTCTGGTTTGACCCTTCAGCCTGATGTGCTATTAGACTCTCTCAGCCTTTTAATCCTCTTCAGCCTCCCTGGCCCTTCAGCCCTTGCAGCCTTTCAGAGCCTTCCAACCCTTGAGCCGCCGAAATACTTTGAACCATGCCCAAAATATCAGTTATTTAATACGTAATCAGAAGTTTATTTTATACATTGAGTTTTACATGAGTGTTGCAACTTAAAAAGGTAAAAAAACCAACGAGTTAGAAACCTGGGTACATGCTGTTCTAGACAGCAGCCGAGTTTTTTGTCGCCAAAAATATGTTTCGAAAGCACTGATTTTGACTTGCCCATCATAAGGGCGGGGATGATGCGGGGGTCCGGGGAGTGGAGGTGCGCTACGAGTTCTTTTTTGTGTGTGTGTGGGGGGGGGGGGGGGGGCAGGGGGGGGGAGGGCAGACACACCGTGGACGAGGCCGTTGCGCAAGTATAGCATGGGTTAATTATCTTGCTGAAGTCAAAGGGTTTGAAGTTGGACCAGTTTTTTTCGGGCCGAAACGAAATGGGTCGATGACTGCGAAGTTTTGCGTAGGCCGAAGCTTCAGTATGGTCTCTCGGATTTCCATAGGGGTGAAGTTGGCTGCTTGCATGACGGCTTCTGTGAAGGTCGATGGGCGTACGGACGTGAGATCGAACCCATTCTGCGGCTTGAGGATGACGGTGTAATTTTGTATTGTGGGTTTGGTGCTCGGATAGACCGCAGTCCATTTGGTGAGGTCGCGGGGCGGTGGGCAGGACTGAAGTGATGGGGAGGCCCCGGCCATGCTGGAAGCAGGCCAGCGCTGAGCCTGAGGTAGACGTAGCAAGGAGTACAGCAGCGGGTGCGGCGGGAGCCCGTTCCTCTCGGGAAACGAGGGGTGCGGTGGCGCGGTGGCGCTAGTGTCGCTTCAAAAGGGGCCGTACTCGTCGATGGCCCGGTACGGTTAGAGCAGGGGACGTCGGAGAAGGTTTTTCAGTTGCCGAACAATGAAGGTTTGCGGCTCAACTGGGCTCAAAAAGTCGCCCAACAGGTCCTTCCTTGACCATGCAGGAGACAGTATCACACCATATTTGTTGCGAGGGTGATGGTTCCTCTGGTGAGATGGGGATCAACAGGAGCTGATACGAGGGACGTCCAACATGGTTGACGGCATATGGCGCCTCCCTGCCACGGAGAGCGTGATTCTCCTTAAGACACGCGCTGACACACGCCAGTTTCCGCTGATAGCCCCTACATTCGCAAATTTTGTTTGAAGCGCCATCGTGCTTGCTCGTGGCGGCCGTGTTTTAAACTGCTGTTGCAAGACGCGCTGCAGCGAGAAAGAAGGTTGGCTCTTCAATCAGCGTTAGCCCGGCTGAGTGGTATGAGAAGGGATCAGCTCTCCATGGGAGTTTTTCAACTCATTTGATCGAGTAACACTGAGAAAACCTGCACGTCGTGACGTCCATTTTTCACCCTGAACCGTCTCGCCGACAAGATTGGCAGTACTGTTACAGCTATCTCGCCATCCGGTGTCCAGAAGAGGAAGAATAACACCAAGATAACTCTCGTGTGTTTAAGTCATATAGAATTCTAAGACTATTCCAGCAGTGCAGCTGAATTGTACATATTCAAAATAAACGTCGATCGCTAAATTCATCTCAACTTACAGCGGGAATTTGTGGCAACCTGAACTTCTACGGATTATGTACAACTAATGTTGATCATTGACCTCTGCTGTTAGAAAAACACGGGCACGCGCTGAGTGTAATTTCTCATGAGTGAGAATTCCTGAAGGTCGTTCAACTTCCCGCTCCTGCTTTTAAAGTTTTAAGTTCAAAGACTCAAATGACTGATTTATAAAATATTTATTTTACAGGATGGCATCAAAACAAACATCGACACTCTATTCAAGCTCACGGGACCGGATGGAAAAATCCTCAAGGTAAATTTGATGTCTTTCGTTTGAGTAAGGGAGCCCGGCCGAGTCTTTGTAACGTTTTTCTCGTACATTAAACCGACAATGTATGTATCACGGAAGGAAGGTTGCCATGTATTTGATAAAAGAGGGGCTCCATCTCACAGTGAACTATTACTTTGTTGCTTAGAACACGAGAACTAACTAAACATGCGGGCTATAATTACTGCACATTGAATTTAAGAAAACTAAAGATTTATAGGCGTCCTCAATGGTCTACGACTGCTTCAAAAAAATGTATTCAGTGCCGCGGTCTTTGCGAAATTTCTCAAACATACTTATTAAATTCTCGTGGCCAGGATATCGTCAATGCGGAAGTGCAAAAGTTTAATCTTCAACTCAATAAAACCTACTATCTTATCAAAAAGTTCGGAAACGAGCCCAACTTTTCCTTCAAGAGTCGGCTGAAGGGCTTGTATGAAGCCTACGTAAATCATGTCAGAGGCGAGGTAAGCGGCATTTTTATGTCATTAGATTGGCCTAATGCCTGCTCAAGTAGCTGCATAACGTCCTTTTTAATTATTGTGTTTTTGTTATTACGAGACAAGTTAATTTTAGATGAAAATCTTTTAATAATACGTGTTATCTGTATTAAGTATTTGTTCTAACTATTGCTCAATCTGGCCGCTTGCACATAAGTAATTTTGGCTCCAATTTTTTTTAACACGTTGAGTGTTCATTTGGCGGTTTCAGCACGTAGAAGCCATACTGCGACTGTTCAGGAAAGGGTCCAATAAAGTCTTAGCTCTTTTATTTACTCTCAACTACATGCCTCACGCATGTGCGTATAATGCAACGAGGTAGAGGGCCTTAGAGTGATAAACTAGTATACCGTTCATCAGGCAAAAGTGACCCCCGATTGGCCGCCGCCATGTTGTACAATTTTGACCACTAGACACGTGACCAGGCCAAATCTATGACGTAACCAGACCAAATCTCTGGCGTCAACGAAAAGATGGCAGCGCCCAGTGCGTGTCGGAAGCGTTGTGGGCGTTGATCGGAGTGTGTGGATTTCGTGAGCGGAATTCGGTTTTTGAGGGTTTTGTGTGCTGTCCCGCGTAGGAATAATGTGAAGTACGAGGGAATGAGGCTTTTCTTTTTTATTTAATTCAGAGTAAGCCAGATTCGGTCCCGTGCTTCTCGTACGGGCTCGAATCACTACCTCGGACATCGCTCGGTCGTTCGAGTTTAATTAAAATATCCGCAATCGTTAACCACGGGAGCTCCTCCATAATCGCTGAGTCGAAGGATACGTCGAACCCATCCGGAACGCGGAGTCTAAAGGTATGTAGGACGTAACCAGAACGCGGAGTTCTAACGGTACGGCGGACGTGCCCGGGCAATTTTCTTAGCTCGACCGTCAAGATTCGCATTTGAAGCAGCGAGAGAAGTGTTGAAATCTCCGAACTGCTCGGTGCTGAGCTAACTACGGACCACTTCACTATGTGATCCGTAGTGACGTGAAAAAGACCGACGGCGGTCACTCCGGGCGGACGGCGGCTCCCGGCCGCCTGCCGGGTGCCTTCTGTGAAGGGGCGACAGTCGTGTAAGCAGTACCGTACCAGCTTCTCTTGTAGTTATGTTGTTCTCAAGCAGCTTCCCGATCACTAAACCCCGCAAACGCGTGCCGAAATTTCAAAAGGTGTCTGCCAACCTGGAAAGCCTTAAACTCCCAGGGAATTTCGGATCATCTGGGAAAGTCAGGGAATCATTCCAAAAAGTGGGCTAAATAAGGGAAGACGACTAGTGAAAGCGGCATGGCGGTTGCTCGTCGGCACGGCCATGCTGAATGACATTGCCGAAATGTCATCCTTCGACTCAAAAACTCAAGGAATTTGATCAAAATAGTCAGGGAAAAACTTGAAAAAGTCGGGGAATTTGAAATCAGTAGTTTGTTAGACACAATGTTTGATTTTCTTGGCACTCCACGCGTTTTTACACACGACAGGCACACGCCCGTGTATCACACGGCAGCCAGGCCAAGCGGCTGCCAGCCACTTATGCAAGGTCGATAAGACGCAAGCGTGGAACGCTTTCGGACTGCTGTAAATACACCAGCGGGAGCGTCCGGCCGCAGTCCGACTGCCCACGCTAGGACACCCGACACAGACTCCGCGTCCTGGGTACGTCTGACGCATCTTTAGGTTTTGCATCCTAGGTACGTCAGACCTATCTTTAGACACAGCGCCTGGTAATAGTAGTGAATAGGGTCACGTTCAGTGCGCAAGTCACTTTATTACACTCGGAGAGCGGAATTCCATTCCCGTTGCGCAGGTAGTTCCCGAGCTAGGCATGCACTTGAAGACTATGTTTCACTCTTTCATAAAGCAAGCTTTGCGGGACCCCTCCGCCCTTGTGCACCCATTCGCAGGTCGTGTCGCCTTTCCTCACGTAACTCCCGCAGGTTCAGTGAGTTGCCGAGCCACTGCAGCCCTGGCGTCGCTCGGTACATACAAGAGGCGGCTCACGTCGGTCGTCCAGCAGCGTACTGGAGGGACGCAAAGCTAGCAGCCTCCTTGGTGCACGCAAGACGAGGCTGAACAGAGCTCCAAGCTCTTCTGACGCACATGTGCACTCCAATGAGACCGGTGTCGCACCCCGATTCCTAGAGATGTGGTCGCACTGGCAGTCTTGTCGGTCCCTGGGGGCCGTCGAGGAGTGCCAGAAAGCAAAATTCCATCCTTCTTGCGCAGGTAGTTCCCCAGCTAGTCACTTCCTTGACGACGTCGCACCCCCTCTGGAAGCAAGCTTCGGGATGCTCTTGTGCACCCATTTGCAGGTCGTGTCGCCTTTGCTCACGTAACTCCCGCAGGTCCAGCGAGTTGCCGAGCCGCTGTAGCCCCGGCGTCGCTGGTCGTGCATCCTGGTCCTGGTCGTGCATCAACCACCGCTGCCCATTTCCGCTGAGTGCTTGGGTGTGGTAGCTTGACGTGCTTTCGCAGAAGGCTGTATGCCTTTGCCGAGTAAAAATGGAGCGTGAGGGCAAACTTGCGCACATCCTCTGTACATGCGTTTTTGTTGCGCCTGACTCTTTTTAAGACGAGGTTGCGCATTGTGTTGGTGAATGCTGGCTTAGGAAGTCGTGTCCTCAGTTCACGGAGCAGCGTGTTCAGCTTCCTAATCCTGGCCGTCTTCCGATTGATCTTCTTCTTTGCCTGTTTCAACGGTTTCCTCGCCTTCTGCAGCTTTTGCCTACTCGTGGCCAGGACCCTGTGCAGTCGTGGTGACACAGCTGCGTACGAGTGGTCACCGAAGGAAGTGTTGCATCGCTTGAACACAGCTTCAGGGGGAGTCTCTGACGTCGTAGCCTGAGAGGGGGAAGTAACCAGCTTTACATTGCTTCCAGAACCAGCAGCAGCTTGGGCCTCTCCTGGGGTTGGCTGATCAGTCGTCGATCCAGGCTGCCTCTCTGGAGGGTGAGACCTGTCAGCAGAACAACGAGCGGTGACATTCAAGACTGCCTGTATTCCACAAGACTGTGTGCCGGGCATGCATTCTTGGCAGGTTATACTGTGCAGTGTGATATGTGACCACACCTTTTATGCGTTGGCCAGAACTGGCACTGACCCACAAAAAGGGGGTGCTGGGAGTTCTGGCTTATGAATAGGGTTCCATGTTTTGGGTGTTTTTTAATTTGTGAGTATTACCTGGCTCAGTGAGCAAAAGAAGAGCTGTGATCAAAGGGTGCAGCCAAAAGCTGTAACCAAAAGTTGTGTCCAAATGCCGTGACCAATGCGACGCAATCTAAGGAAAAAGAAAATAAGAGAAAAACAAACAGCTGTGCTCACGTTATCATTTTCGTCATGTGACTTAATTATTAATCACGTGATCAAACAAAAAATAAACCTAGAAATAAATTATCCCCTGCCCGGTTTCGAACCTAGACTCTCATGATCGCAAAACTAGTGTGCTATTCATTGGGTCAACCTTGCTCATTGACGTCAATATAGCTCGGCCAAAGGTAATGCTCACGCATTCTCACATCATGAAAGAAAGCTGAGGTGCTCTCGTAGTTTTATTTTTTTAAAAATGGGGGTGATTTTTTGGTGCTTATTTGTTCTCTCGAATTTTGAGCTTATCAGTGTCTTTTTTTTGATATTGACTAAAACTCGGAGTGTCACGGTACTTATGTGGTAAAAGGAAATGCATATCTGTGGCGTTTCTAGGAGACACAACATGATATGCACTACTCATTGCTAAATGGAGCACATAAAAACAATTCCCAAAGAAAAAGAGCAGCCTCGCAGACAGTTCAGTGCGGTCGGTGTTGTGGTTCAACAAAAGTACAGACGTTTATCAAGGTTCCCTGCCGTGGAAAGTGCAATTTCTCTTCAAAGCAAGCTCAATTCGGGTTCTTTCGGTTTTTGCAGATTTCAAGAAAAATCGTTTGGAGGTCATATTTTTATGTATATCAGTATATACTGAAAACACGTAACCCACTTATGATTGAATGATTGTAAAAAGCATACAGCATGCCATGGAATTATTATAATGGTGGTGGTTAAAAGTGTTGCAAAGAACCTGAATGTTTTACTCGAACCTATCAACTTGATCCCAAAGATGCCACTTTTCTAGTGATTCGTTGACCACCACTTTCAGATACAAGAGACACACCTTTGCAAGTTGTGCAACTAGTCGCCCGAAGTACCTGAAAACTGGAGCTTGTTACTTCCCCCTCTCAGGCTACGACGTCAGAGACTCCCCCTGAAGCTGTGTTCAAGCGACGCAACACTTCCTTCGGTGACCACTCGTACGCAGCTGTGTCACCACGACTGCTCAGGGTCCTGGCCACGAGTAGGCAAAAGCTGCAGAAGGCGAGGAAACCGTTGAAACAGGCAAAGAAGAAGATCAATCGGAAGACGGCCAGGATTAGGAAGCTGAACACGCTGCTCCGTGAACTGAGGACACGACTTCCTAAGCCAGCATTCACCAACACAATGCGCAACCTCGTCTTAAAAAGAGTCAGGCGCAACAAAAACGCATGTACAGAGGATGTGCGCAAGTTTGCCCTCACGCTCCATTTTTACTCGGCAAAGGCATACAGCCTTCTGCGAAAGCACGTCAAGCTACCACACCCAAGCACTCAGCGGAAATGGGCAGCGGTGGTTGATGCACGACCAGGACCAGGATGCACGACCAGCGACGCCGGGGCTACAGCGGCTCGGCAACTCGCTGGACCTGAGGGAGTTACGTGAGCAAAGGCGACACGACCTGCAAATGGGTGCACAAGAGCATCCCGAAGCTTGCTTCCAGAGAGGGTGCGACGTCGTCAAGGAAGTGACTAGCTGGGGAACTACCTGCGCAAGAAGGATGGAATTTTGCTTTCTGGCACTCCTCGACGGCCCCCAGGGACCGACAAGACTGCCAGTGCGACCACATCTCTAGGAATCGGGGTGCGACACCGGTCTCATTGGAGTGCACATGTGCGTCAGAAGAGCTTGGAGCTCTGTTCAGCCTCGTCTTGCATGCACCAAGGAGGCTGCTAGCTTTGCGTCCCTCCAGTACGCTGCTGGACGACCGACGTGAGCCGCCTCTTGTATGTACCGAGCGACGCCAGGGCTGCAGTGGCTCGGCAACTCACTGAACCTGCGGGAGTTACGTGAGGAAAGGCGACACGACCTGCGAATGGGTGCACAAGGGCGGAGGGGTCCCGCAAAGCTTGCTTTATGAAAGAGTGAAACATAGTCTTCAAGTGCATGCCTAGCTCGGGAACTACCTGCGCAACGGGAATGGAATTCCGCTCTCCGAGTGTAATAAAGTGACTTGCGCACTGAACGTGACCCTATTCACTACTATTACCAGGCGCTGTGTCTAAAGATAGGTCTGACGTACCTAGGATGCAAAATCTAAAGATGCGTCAGACGTACCCAGGACGCGGAGTCTGTGTCGGGTGTCCTAGCGTGGGCAGTCGGACTGCGGCCGGACGCTCCCGCTGGTGTATTTACAGCAGTCCGAAAGCGTTCCACGCTTGCGTCTTATCGACCTTGCATAAGTGGCTGGCAGCCGCTTGGCCTGGCTGCCGTGTGATACACGGGCGTGTGCCTGTCCTGTGTAAAAACGCGTGGAGTGCCAAGAAAATCAAACATTGTGCTAACAAACTACTGATTTCAAATTCCCCGAATTTTTCAAGTTTTTCCCTGACTATTTTGATCAAATTCCTTGAGTTTTTGAGTCGAAGGATGACATTTCGGCAATGTCATTCAGCATGGCCATGCCGACGAGCAACCGCCATGCCGCTTTCACTAGTCGTCTTCCCTTATTTAGCCCACTTTTTGAATGATTCCCTGACTTTCCCAGATGATCCGAAATTCCCTGGGAGTTCAAGGCTTTCCAGGTTGGCAGACACCTTTTGAAATTTCGGCACGCGTTTGCGGGGTTTAGTGATCGGGAAGCTGCTCGAGAACAACATAACTATAAGAGAAGCTGGTACAGTACTGCTTACACGACTGTCGCCCCTTCACAGAAGGCACCCGGCAGGCGGCCGGGAGCCGCCGTCCGCCCGGAGTGACCGCCGTCGGTCTTTTTCACGTCACTACGGATCACATAGTGAAGTGGTCCGTAGTTAGCTCAGCACCGAGCAGTTCGGAGATTTCAACACTTCTCTCGCTGCTTCAAATGCGAATCTTGACGGTCAAGCTAAGAAAATTGCCCGGGCACGTCCGCCGTAGCGTTAGAACTCCGCGTTCTGGTTACGTCCTACATACCTTTAGACTCCGCGTTCCGGATGGGTTCGACGTATCCTTCGACTCAGCGATTATGGAGGAGCTCCCGTGGTTAACGATTGCGGATATTTTAATTAAACTCGAACGACCGAGCGATGTCCGAGGTAGTGATCCGAGCCCGTACGAGAAGCACGGGACCGAATCTGGCTTACTCTGAATTAAATAAAAAAGAAAAGCCTCATTCCCTCGTACTTCACGTTATTCCTACGCGGGAGAGCACACAAAACCCTCAAAAACCGAATTCCGCTCACGAAATCCACACACTCCGATCAACGCCCACAACGCTTCCGACACGCACTGGGCGCTGCCATCTTTTCGTTGACGCCAGAGATTTGGTCTGGTTACGTCATAGATTTGGCCTGGTCACGTGTCTAGTGGTCAAAATTGTACAACATGGCGGCGGTCAATTGGGGGTCACTTTCAGCTGCCAGTTTATCACTCTAATGCCCTATACCTCGTTGGTATAATGCCACCGATCCCTCTTACCCGTGAGTATAATTATTGAGTTTGGTTTTAGAACTGTGCTTCAAGTGACTTCCAGTATGCTAGAATATGCCGTTTTCAAAATAAGAGCCTTCTAGTAGCTGCTGTGCCGAATCTCATGGTCCACCATTGCTTGGGCAAACACTGTGAGCATGTAGTGGTCACGAGGGTTGCATCAACATTTGACGCGAAATTAGCTCCGTTCGAATCAAAAAGACACTTCACAACCAAGAAATGGCGGCCGCCGATGTTGCTTGTTCAGATCCGTGATGTGCTAGCGCTGTCGCTGTAATGTGCTACCGCCAGACAGGTTATGTGGAGCTAGCCACCGTCCAATAGGTAGAGTTCAGACGTATGCATCCAGCCATCTATCCGTGGGAATATTGTATGCTTGTAAACGCTTGCGCAGCCTCGTGATATTTTGTTTCCTCGCCATCCCCAGGTCAAAGAGCGTGTTGGAGACTTGAAGCCACTCTATGATGTATTCCATGCATTCGTTGACGCCCTTTGTCCCGGTCTAGTGGGACCTGTGGTGAGAAGTCTTCGCCGGATAATACGACTAGTTACTGTTTTTTTTTTAAATTATGTTATGCATGTCGATGTTGGGAGCTTAATTGTACATCCCAGTGTTTTTTCGCGGTATTTGTTCGTGCCGAGAGATGCTAAAAGAAACAGCGTTCAATGATTGCACTCCTTCTCTAGAGAACACAAACAAACAAACAAACAAGGAATATCCCATTGTTACATTTAGATCGATGTCAATGTACCAAGAGCTCGTTACATTGTTTAGTAAAACAGAGATCGAGGCCAAGATTGTATTCTCGCTTAGGTGTACCTTGCATATTTTAACTTTATTTTACGCACAAACTTTCAACCCCAAAATGTTTACCACAAGCTGAGCCTTAAAAACAATTCTCGCTAAATTCCAGTCTTGATTGCTCCTGGTTTCAGCTGACTACAGGAGAAATATACTTGAAGCACAATATTAAAACTACAGAGGAAACGCTCTCCATATTGAACTTTGCTGACAGAGGTTTCTCAGTTAACGTCGCATCTGAGCAAGCTGACCCCGTAGTGCATGATTCATTTGAGCTTCCACCAAGAGTGATTATATTACTAGGATATTTCAATTAAATTATACTTCCAATTACTTTCCTGAAAATTTCTATACCATAATTGAATAACATTACGAACTACCGGAAGCTAGAAGTAGACTTAAGAAGAAATCCGTGTCAAGTCAAGGATTACATGCAATCCGTTACTTTTTCAAGTAAACTTATAACTAGCACGTTCTTTTTTTTTTTCGGCAGTGATTTGTAATTTTGTTTGATTACTAATATTAGAAACGAATTCATTTAATTGCTTCATTCTTCTTTAAAAAATGAGCATAATAAAGAAACTGGTGTTTCATGAGCCGACAATTCAGCAACGTAATGATAATAAGTTCAACAAACTAGAAAACATTGCGAAGAAGAAAATAACCGAAAAGAAAACACGCTTTTTCAATGAACGGTCACTAGAAACACTAGAAAAACGTGCAAGGCAAATTCAAAAATCCGAAAGACGAATATCAAGACGACAATGCCGAGTAGGCGTTACCTTCTTGATCTTCTGGTGGAGCTAGACGCTGTTAGTGAGCATGCACATCGCAAGTTTGGTTTTTAAAATTCCAGAGATACCTTCCGGTCGCCATAACCTAGCGGGTCGGTGGCTGTGATTGCAGCTTTTGCTGCCTTGTCAGCTTTCAGGTGATCGCAGTGCACCTACACTCTTTCTCTTAAAAACAACCTTTTTTTTTCTTTCAAGAACTACCATAATCAGGGCGTATCAAAACAGGAAAATAGTGTTGGACAACATTTTCGAAAACATTAGATTTGTTTCAAGTATTTTCTTGATAAGTGTACGGGAAAAGTAACTTAGAATTATTTGTAACGTAACGAGTAAAGTAATCCAGGGCATTTCAGTGAAACTAACGTGTAAGATAAATCCATGAGATCTGAGGCTCCGTAATTTGCAATTGTAATTCCTTGCATTTTTTAAGTAATGGGTACAAGGCTGGCTAAAAGTAATGAAATTGCAATTACGATACTGAGTAAATATTTACTGTAAGGTTGCATTGCTACTTCTTCGCGCGTGAACATGGCGGAGCAATTCTTTTTTCATTACAATGCATACTGCTCGGCCAAGCTAGCGCGAACATGGCGTAAGCGTTTTATCGCACTTTGGGGAGCCGGGGTAATTATAGCAAATTACATTTTTTATTCGACTGAGCGTTTGACGCAAATCAGCAAATTACAGCATACTATAGTAACATACAGCTTTGAAAAGGCGAGAGTGGCGAGTTGCAACCATCGACCCCGCAGCCACTGAAATTACCCAATATAATTGAATTCAGCCCAAGGTTCATTCTTTCTCCTGACTACAAACAGCTCAAAGACGTACCTTTCCGGAAAAAGACCACATAAAAATAAACACAATGGTAAAAGTACTCATGGCAAACTTTATACACCTGCCTAAATTAGTAACATTGATTAAACTTTGAATGATATCTTACCCAAGCAAAATGATTTGTTGGCCTAGTTGGTTAAACATTATGAAAATTAAAAAGCGTTCTCCCTCTTGTCCTTGTCTTTTGCGCTTTTTAATTTTCGTAATATCTTACTCAATCATAGCTAAGCTCTCATACGGTAAGAACGTCAACCCGAAAATTAAGATGCAAAAAAACGTTCGTGATTCAAATGCGTTGCACTTTGAGTTCTTGAGTTGTCACTGAGATTTGACTAGACCATTTAGTTGGAAGAGGACATACAAAAAAAAAACACTTCGATTGCTTCTCGGTGTTAACTGCGTCGCGCTTTGTACATAGTATAAAAACCAAAGGTTCAACAAGATTTTCCACGCGAGCATTGTTGTGGTTTCAGCTCTCTGACAACCGGGTGGCTTAGCATAGGCTTGATGAAGTCAATTGAGTTCTGTGTGCGTTTAGACAAACGGCGAGTTATTCCGCACAAAGGGGTACCTCATCTACTCCGTTGCAGATAAGCAATTTACCCCGTACAGTAACACTTCTGGCTTAGAACATTTTAAGTACATCAGGTGGTGATACACAATCGCACAGCGGTTCAGTACTCATCGAGATTGAAATGGGCTAGAACAGGAATCAAATCGGGGATAATTAACTTTGATCATAAGTCGTTATCCTCGAGCCTAGACCTGGGGGACAAAGAAGTTTGGTTAGATGTATAGCGCCATCTTATGCGTTGCAACTGTGATAGGCTCAGCGTCAGCAATCAATGCAGGCCCAAGCAGTAATTTCGCCTTCACCCCAGAAATGAATAAACGAAGTGGAGACAATTTTATTCTCGCGCATCCGAGTGCCCTGCCGAACAGTGACGCAACGCTCGTGTTCAATTGCTCGGCAGCATGCACTTCCCAGTATTGTCTTCTTTCGGCCACCAGTGACGGTGACAAGAACTCGTATGTGGCGCCTTCTGTTCTCTGCGAAAGGCTTTACGAGGATAAGTAGAGCGAGGGGAGGGAATGAGACCACGTGGGCCGTCAAGACGTCGAGATCTGATTGGAATAATTAGAAGAAGACGCAAAGACTACCGTCCTTTGCAGCTATCCACTCACTCCTTTCAGTCAGGGCAAACACGAGCGTCATGTGCTCCCCACGCAGTGTCTCATGGTCGAACGCCGGCGTTCGGCGGTCGAACGGGTTTGAGCAGTGGGTAGAGGTAAGGGCAACTAGCGTTTGCAGTTACCATCTATCTTTCCAATCATAGCTGAACTCTCAGACGTCCCCGCGTGGCCTCATCTCCCCATACCTCTCGCATTCTCGGAGTTTACCCATATTGTTTAGGTCACACCACCAGATTTATTCTCTAGCAGTTACTCTATGCCCGGTTGTCAGGAGACTGGTATATAGAAAGTAATTATGTCTCTTTTAAAAATGCACGCAATTAAAGAATTAAATATCTACTAAATTGCTTTCTTCATAACGTAATCATGGCAATGAAACATTGCCATTACTGTGATAAATTAAGTACTCGTAGATTCCACCCAGGACTACAACCCACATGGCGCAAAATGCACATTGAAAAATGTCGGCGAAGAGTCGTCGTCAGTACAAGCTGGTCACATCAACTCAGCGGATGCCGCCAATCAATAGATACTGGATGGCATGAACTTTTTTCGAAACTTGAAAACGTTCAGAGTATTCGACGATGTTGGATTCCTCCAATACATTTGCCCAATTTCTACACGAAAAAACATAATGCTGTCAGGAAATACGTGTACTCTTCAATGTTGAAGAATATATTACGTAGTTATTAGATATTTTATATGTTAGAACATATCCACGTATGTTTATACAAAATTAAAACAAATATATGACCCGTTAACGATTTAATTAATTCGTTAATGTGAAACAATCTAAACAGTATCGGTATTTAATATGTTTAAAATTTTCACGCGTGAAAATAATAGTCAAACTCCTGTCAAACTCTAACCCAGGGAGATTTCAGACATCTCTCGGTATTTCTTTAGCGAAGTGACTGTTTTTCTTTTGTGTTTCAGAACGCATTTTGGCTAAGTATTACAGTGTACCTGCTCTTAAGCATACCGGCAATAATCATGGCATTGAAGTTAGCGGCGGTCTACTCCAAAGTCAAAGCACCTGGGGAGGTGCCGGTTGCTACAGATGAACTTATGAGCCAGCCCTTGGTGTGAGCATGTTGTTTTGGGTTTTATTTTGCGTGAGGTTAGCTCCGATAACGTTTCCTAGCGCTCCTTGCTACGAGCTGACTTTTCTAGAAGGGAACTGTACCGACACGCCTCAAGTACGCGTTTGACAGCGCTACACTTTCAAGAACAAGTCTTGTAGCCTTGTGAAAAAAGAAATTCACACTTCGAAGCAGGACAACAGCTTGGCAACCGTGAGCGCGGCTTAGCTGCAAGCTTGAAGGTTGGACGATCTCGTCACACCAGGAGCTCAAAGTCGGCGCCTCCGCCGTGCTACCAAACAGCATATTTAATCTACTGTCGGTGACAGGTTTAGAACCGATCAGATGCTTCTTTTATGATTATATTGCAATTAAATGCAACGGTGCAACCGAGCTGTTCACCTTCCCCCGGGATTATTTTCGTCAGATGTTCTTTGTCTTCCGCCTTTTTTTGAATTTGCATGCGACGAAGTCTTATCAAAGGCAAGATAAGTGTTACATTGGTTTCGTTTTAACGCTGAATAACATTTTAGGAGGGGGTACCTTGGTTAAAGCGTAATGCGCAGGAGCGAAATGCAAAAAGGTTACGAAAATTAATCCTGATGTTCCGTGGCTTGTGACGTTATTAGTCAGATAACTGAGAACGCATACACCTTTCCCCTCTTCGACCGTGGTCAGAATGTGGTCTATCGCAATCTAACGCAAAAATACCAGACTGTGAGCCAGCCTTAAGCTGGTCACATTGTTTCCCTCTCCTCAGGCCCAAAGGGATGCACGCGGTTCCACCACGACGGTCGCACGACGAGGAAACTTCTCAACTGCCTAAAGCGTCCGAGGATTTTCTCTCGAGCGGGTGGCACGCCACCATTCCCAGTACGACGACCTTTAGCCATATGAGGAGCACAGAATCCGGTATAAGGAGCAGCGCGTAAGTTTTTGTTTTTATTAAATATTTTATAACACAGTTCATTTAGTGGTAGTGTTTTATAAAAACATTAAAGCCCGGTCACGCTGGAAATACACCACACAAATACCAGTCTGCAAACATGTATGTGTTCTAGTATGACGGTCCGTCAGATTGGCCGTGAAACTCTGTCTGTAGATATGTCGAAAGTGCACATGTGTGAAGAAAGCATGCTTTGAACATGGTTGAGGCGTGTCCTCAGACACTTCTGTCATCATGGCTGCAGCCAACACTGCGTCTCTTGTTTCATGAACTAGGGACTTCCTTAGCGCGAAATGTATTGCCGTACATTCATATGCGGAGCCTAAATTGGCACGCTACGTCCCGCTCAATATGGCTAAATTAAGCGACACTTTGGAACTCAGTAAGGCTCCCAAAGTTGCACACGGCTCATCTCAAAACATGGGGCGCATTCTGCCCCCGACCTAATGCATTAGATTAGAAGAAAAAAAAATTTACAGACGCTTTGCACATAAAATAGTGGGTCAAGAATCTCTATACCTATTTTCACCTCAAGAAAAAAGTAAGTTTTGCACATTGTTCATAAGCGGTGTGAAGTTGTTCTTGTGAGATTCGGCTATTGAAGGAAAAAGCGGTCCTTTTGTTGTTTGGAACGTGTACTTATCAATAATATAACGTATATATAATCTAGACTTTACTTACATGAACCTTATTTCTCTAGGTAAAAGGGAAAATCAATAATAGTCCAGGAAGAGTCGAATTTGTTTACTACGCTTCTTGAGGCGAAAACGGGTATAGATATAAAGAAGAAACCTTTAAGAAGTCCTGTAACAAAAACAATATATGAAATCCTCTTGAAATTATTTTTTTATGAGAAAGATGCAAACATTCCAGTTTTTTTTTATTCAGAAACATCTCAAATGTGCGAAGTGTCTCTTTATTTTGGCGAGCTCCGAAATATTATTTTGAAAAGAGGGATTAATTTATTTAGAAACTAAGTGAAAAAAAAGTGGGCCCTCTTTTATCAAGTGCAAGGTTAAACTCTGGAGGCATTTTAAGGAAGAAACAACCATGTAGTGCATAGCTTCAAAATAATAATTTTAGTTTGGTGGGAACAGCGCGAAAAACGACGTAGGACTAGGACGAAGATACACTCAGACAGGGCGCTGATTCACAGAAGTAGGAACCACCAACTAGTCCAACTGCATGGCTTGTTGCATAATTTTAGTTTAAAAAAAGAAACGGAAGTTAAATTATCGTAAATGCGTCTGTTTTCGTTCGAATGATGATGTTGATGTAAACTCTACTTCAAACGATTAGTGGGTATTAAAGGGTAATTCAGGTCGAAAATTGAACCGAAATAAATGACTGATATCTATTTATGGAAACTAAATACGTGCACCTCCACATTACCACACTAACGAGAAAACCTGAACCACTCGAAGACCGTTATTGAAAATCCTACCACCTGCCTCTCGGCGGGTATTCAGCGTGTTGGCTGTTTGTCAAGCAATTTCGTGCCCGATGTCATGTTTGTACTCAAGATTACTTGATCATACTGCGACTTCTTTCGCCGTGTTTTTCCGCAACTTATTTAATCGTCCGAATGGACTATTTATGCTTGTTATGGATATTTTTTAGCTACCGCCGTTTGTCAGTCCACCTCAGCGATCGCGCACGGAGGTTATTGACTCCCTGCTCGCTCGAGAACGCTGTGGTGACGATGGTGGTATTCACTGCCGACAATAGTTTAGTTCACGTTTGCTCAACGTGGGCTTACGATTGGCCTCCACAACTCTTCTGCAATGTGCCTTGCACATATCGAGATTGTAGCCCTTAGAGTATTAATGGGGACGCGCTCTGAGCCTGCGCTAAGCCCACTTTTATCCTGGCGAACTCGCTATTCGGCCGGCAGTTTGATGACTTTGTATTAATGTTCGCTGCGGAGGACGCTATCTACAGAGCAAAGCACTAAAACAGGCATAGCATCTTACCTGACTGAACGAAACTGCTCTTGCGGCTAGGCCTGTTGTATGTTTTGCGGTACTGTGGTACGAACCTTGCGACCCATGATGGCTATGCCGCTAATCACAAGGGTTGCCATCATGCTTCATCCGATAGTTTCAGTCATTACAGCCAAACGCCTCCGAAACAAAACTTTGAGGTATGCTATCTGCGAAACTACACGAGGCACCAAAAAAGAAACTATACCTCGCAATGCAGAAACATTCCTGTCACTAAAAACAGCCGTAATCCGGAAATAAAGAAAAATGTTCCGGAGTTATCTTTTAACTTACCATTAATGAAACTGCACCTTTAAACGCACATGAAGGATGCTCCATGGCGGAATCTGTAAGTAATCAGGAGTGTGGGACAACTTAAGAAGCATAGAGACTGACTTGGTATGTTCATGCTTGTTGATTAGTGAATCATTAATCAATGTTCTTATGGGCGATTGCCATTATATTATTGGCAGCGGAGTGACAACGAGGTGCCCGAGGCTGCTCACACCTCGCGGTCTTTAAACTGTCAGTAACTCTTTTGCCTCCTTGTCTCGGCATTTGTTTTGCTAAATTATCACTCTCTCATACTTTCGTTTCAGATATTCACCTTCTGACCTCGACTCGCAGCGGTATAAATCTTTTCCTATTAAGTAAGTTCGCAGCAATTCCTCTGATTTGATTTGTAGCGGAATTATTTCAATATTTGAAGCCTGCAAGCCACTGAGAAAAGAACTGCCATATAAAACGTTTTTTTTGTGTGTGTGTGTCTTTTCGGAAGTAGGATTCGATTTTAAGGAAAGAGCGCCTCAGCTAAAACGCTCCTAAACAGGCATCTTGGGTTTTGATATTAATGGCAGTCACATTGAATTTAGTAAATTATTCTCCTAATTTTTTTTTTTTTGCTTTTTCATTTTTTTTAATTGTTCGTGCGCCGCCGTTTATGTCTTATGGTTGAAATATCGAATAACAGGGCTTCCGGTACTTGGTGTAAACCTTGTTTGTTTCACTTCCCCATTTGTTCTTTTAACCAGAAAGCTGCCAGAATTTGTTTTGAAAACCAACTCTGTTGTGGGCGGTTTTTATCGATCACTGCTCTGAGCCACGAAGACAGAAATAATCATCATTAGAAAATAAATGGCTCTTGACAAAGTACTGCTAGTACGGTTTAGAAATGAACAGTTAAAAGGAAAATGTGATTTCGTCGGAAGGGCATTACTTAGAGCGGCGAATGTCAGGTTGGTAGTGCAAACGGATAATGAGCAAATTAACTGTTGTAGACCTACTGACTAACATTAAAAAAATAAGGTTAATTTTCACATCGGAATTTTAAACAGTGTAGCCCTTCATCAAAATATTCCACGGCTGTTAGAATTCCTACGACTAAACTCTTGTGCACAGAGTTGCCGGTGACTGACTAGCAGCCAATGTAGCTCGTGGAGAGAGGTAGGTTCACACGGTAGACAGGGAAACTCCGTGCCAGTGTTGTAGGCGTTACAGAAACAAAGTAAAAAAAAAAAAACGTCACTTGTTACTTGCAAATAAGTTTAATGCGTCACCAACCTACGTTACCTAAAAATAAAAGGAACGCGTCACCGCTACCCAGACCGATAAAAACAATTACGGACGTAACTTTTGCGTGACTTTCTTTAATTATGGATGAACACGTTTTACTGTTTTTACGGTACGGTATGCGTACGCGCCATATTTCGAGAAACATTACGTTCATGCAAAAACTGAACCTAAATATATTATCGTTTTTTCTTTTTTTTTGCGGTTTCGCCTAAAACTTAAAAGAAAATAAAAGAAAACGAAAAAAAATCTCCACACTTGACATGGCAATTGGCGACAATAACACACAAAAAAAATTTAAGTGCAATTTTGTTAAGTCTTGGGAATAAGAAGTAACGAGTAATGTAGCACGTTACACGTTATCTGAAGTAAGTAACGAAAGTACATTACCCGTTAGTGTTTTGAAAAATTAACGAGTACGCTACTACGTTACCAAAAAAAAAGCAATGCGTTACCGATAACGCCGTTACTTCTAATGCGTTACCGCCAACACTGCTCCACCCTCTCCACTTCCGCCACATTTTTCCCCTTATTTCGGCAATTCTAACCCCGCCCCTGTATTTAGCGTCTCCCGTCGACACGGAAAGTTTGAGTTCGCTTCCGGTAGGCTCTGAGAAATATGAAGGGTCCATTTTTCCACAGAAAACTTTAGGAGACTGTAGCGCCTTAGGTATTTCCAGACTCGACTCGGATGTTGAACTGGTCTGGAATGGTCGGTAAAAACACTAACGTTTTATTTAGTTCAGATAGGGCTGAATTCAGAATAATGATGAAGACGCGTTGTCGGCGTCCGTCCAGGCCGCTGGTCCCAAGTCGACTCGTCTCTCTATTTCTACTCTACTTGTCTCCCTTTGTCGTCCTGCGCCGCATTCCTTTGTACCCCTGTGGCGAGGATACAAAGGACGAAAGACAAAGGCATCACTTCACGCCCCCTCGCGGTGGGGTCAAGTGGTGCAACCGCGAGGAAATACGGCAGTCGGACAAGAGAGTAGTGTCCGGCGGTCCGCTGTGGATGGTGAGATTGCTAGGATATTAACCAACGTTATGCAACGGATATTGCGCGGAGCCGCTGTAAGCGCGCGGTAAGGTCTGCTGACGACGCTGTACTTGAGCCGGGTAAAGTAATCTTAAGCTCTCAGGGGCTGCTCTGTCGAACGGAGAAAAGCTATCTCGGGAGCCGCTGTGTGGGTGCGTGCGTACGTGACCACAAGTATATTGACGCAAACCACGGAGAGAGCTAAACGAATTGCGAGGCCTATATATATCTATATATATAAAAACATTAGTCCGCACTTTTACACAGATCATGGCGAACCGGCATACTCACGGCCACTGCACCAACTGATTAGTTGTTGGCCAAAAATTTCCAGGATGTTGCGTCGTGGCGGTGTTTCGCGTAAACCACAACCGATCACACACCAAACAACAGGTTCTCGAGAAAGTGCTGCACAAACTGTTTGATCGCACCCGCGTTTCAATTCTTTGCTCGCTAACTTTCTCTTTGATACTCATTGACGTCAAATGCGTTCCACCCCAACACTCATGGCGAGATCGTAGGCGCGAAACCATCGACGAAGTTTTCTCTCGTGGGTGCGTTTCCACCGTCGAGCAGCCGCTGCTTGCACCTGAGTTCTTGACTGCCCCATTCTCGCGCGGAAAGGCTTAGGGCCCTGTCAAACTGAGGCAACAATTGGACAACTCTATCCGGCAATACGAAGAAATCGTGTATATGGAGACCATGTCTAATCGCGGCAACGACAACAGTCGGACAAGATGTTGCTGCGGCCCCGCAATCGTGTTGGCCAATTTTGATGTCGGACCACCCTGTCACACCGCGCTGACGGCGGGGACAACAGGTGGAATACTACACCATCTTGATTGTTTACCTTTGTTCTTGTGAGACACTGAGTCGCTGGAATGGGGATTCCACAAAGCGCTAGTGTGTGCGAAGGGCCGCAAACTACCACAGACGACTTCACCCAGTGACTGTGATTGGACAAATGCGAATGAAGAAAATGATCTTCATTCGCAGGCAAAACAGATAGCCCTAACCGAGTAAAGTGGGATTGCTGATATATGTTCGGGATTTGCGCCGCCGTTTGAAGCGTTTTTGTCCGGCTCTTTCTCTGATGTAATTCATATTTTTACAGTAAAATTGAGTTAGCACCGACAGTACTCCCAAGCGCCTTTTGTCGCGTGGTGTTTAGCTGAACTGACAGTGCTTAAGAGCGGCGGCACCGAAACTATTGGCCTTCGTAAAACCGTCGGAATAAATATTTTCAAGGCTGTCTATGTGTCTCCAGCCTGCTATGTGATTGCTTACTTTCCCAAAATGGCATGGGTATTTTGACACAAATCAGGTGTCTGGTTGTGGCTGTTTCCATGTTTCAAGCATCAACAATCATGATCAGAGTGGTCGTTTTTATGCTTAGATTTTTAATGTTTGCTTTTCTGAATTGTTTTTGTTATACTTTATCAGCGGGTGAGTAGCCATGCAATTTTATTTCACTAGAAAGAACATCAGCTGGTCTCTGGGCAGTTATAATTTCAACACCAGTCTGAACATTCACGACCGTAGCTGTGATCATATTGACAATAATTTTCCGTAATTCCGGAATAAAAATATCATCCAATTATTTTAGCTGCACGCCAGCCTTAATTTTTTGCTAAATAACGTTTTTTAAGCCTTTATTTGACCAAGCAATTGAAAAATATATTGATGGAAAACTAGCTCTGACATCAAAGCTTTGTTGTTGTGTTGCCGGCCTTTAATTAGGCACAGTTCAGCGAAACACACGTTGTCCAAAGCAAGTTGCCGCTGCTCTTGCTGCCGAAAGCTGCCATATTGAGGCAACATTTTTGTTGTTGCCTACGTTGTGCTGCTGTTGCCGCGGTTTGACAGGTTTATCAGACAACACGGGGAGCGAGCAACAAGTTGCCCGACTTTTAGAAACCGTGTTGTGTTGCTGTTGCCTTCTTGTTGTCTCGGTGTGATAGGGCCTTCAGAGCGCCGAGCGAAATATCCATTTAGGCCTGGGTAGAGATGCTCAAAAACGTATTCCGGGATAGAAATACTGAGATACATTTCTTTTTGCGGTATGCGGATATTTCGGAGATACTTTGCAAAAAGAGAAAAAAAAATGTATAAAGAATACAGAGATACAAATACTGAAATACCTTTATTCCTCGAATGACGTCATGTTCCGTAAAAAAATATTTAACAATGAACTATAAGCTAGGTAATGACCGATAAAATGCGAGTCCCAAATGTGGTGCAAGAAACGAACAAACATTAATTTTCAATTGAGAAAAACATCTCTCTTTATTCATGAAAGGTTCTCGCAAACAAAGGAGAATGAAATTAATGGCACTTGAGTAGCAGAAGCTTTTCAAACAGTTCGTCGAAAGACAGCGACGGTTCGGTTTTAGTACAAGACTTACGAACGAGAAAAGTCTCTACAGCGCTGCAGAGGAGCATATAGTTCGTATTAAGGCGAGAAAGAGCAGATGGCGATAACGTTCCCCATATGATACCTAAGCAATCGCGAATGAGCGAACGCACTGCGCCTCAACCGCGAATATGCTCCGAGAGTCTGCGGGAAAAGAAAAGGCGAGAGAACGCGGGGACGCCGGGACACCGAGTTCTGATCAGAAGAATTAGTGGGTAGTCCTAAATATGGCTGCCTTTCCGCCCACTGGGGTTGTCAAGCGCGTTAAGGCTCTGTTATACTCCCACGTTGAACGCAGCGACCGCAGCGTCGTTCAAAAGATGGGCCTTTTGTTGGACGGCTAAGAGGAATTCGATATTTGCGACGGATCAATGTATGTGTGCCCTGCGCTACGCCACGTTTGCAACGCTCGACGTCGGTGTGTAACAGAGCTTCTAGAACGCGGAACACCGGCGGCCCGTTAAGGCCCGTTCACACACTTGCGTTCGACTACAGCCGACTTAGACAATGCCGATTTTCAAGCTTCCTGAGATGACTTACGACAAGCTTCCCAGCAGTGCATATCCGGTCGTAAAGCGTCGCAAGAGGCTTGAAATCCGGTCTTGTCTCGGTTAGCCGTACTCGGTTGCAAGGGTGCGAATGGGCCTTAAGCTTGCGAATTCCAACGCGTTCGACGAGTGCAGTTCACACAAAATCAGCTCTTGTATCCACTGCAATTGTTGAACGCGTTAAAACACAAAAAGCCGGCGTCCGCCATTTTGCTCTCGCATTCGGACGCGTTCGAGGAGTGCAGAGGAGGCAAAGGCAGCCATGGTGCAGTTTTAGATCTGCCCACTAACCATTCGAATCTCGGCTCGGCGTTCTGTCTCTTACTGTTTGTCGGTCTCTCGGCGCATTAGCAGCGAATCGATGAGGATATTGCTGTAGTCGCCATCTACAGGCACCAACGCCACATATGTGAAAGATAAATGTGCACTTGCTCTGTTCGTTCATAGCAGCATGACCTTCGCTCAGTACTACAAGCCCAGTGCAGCTGACGGTGTTAACGTGCCTTGGATACGTTCCGCTTCGACTGAAGCAAGTGTATCTGAAACGCAACTCCGCCTGGTATTTTTAACGTTCTACACCACTTGTTTATCCGAGCTGATTCACACTTTTTAACATAGTGCATCAAAGAACCTGGCGCGTCACGCTGTCGCGAACCTGGTAGTGAGTTTAAGACATGCTGGAGGAGTTGGCGAACAAACGTAAGCGTCGTTGGGGTCGCGGCGTCCGAGAATGGCTGCCGTAGTATCCGGCAACTGCACGGTGAACAGCCTGTGCGCCAAGTTGGCGGGTATTGCAAAGCAGTCGTCTGTCACATCGATCCCCTCTGCTATGCCACCGCCAGGATTGCGGCATGCGACAATATGACGCAGTCGTAACGCTAAGGGGCCGGAATTTAGCGGTTTAGAAGTAAAGGTGGGGTAGACGCACCAGGCGGAGAGGCGTTCGAAAGAAAAAGTTACCCAAAATTTATAGTTTGAAACATAATGGTTTTTTCCTTTTTTTTTTTTTTTTTTTTTTTGCAGTTCGACAGTTGATGACCAACAAGACGCCGTCGAGTTTCACAGGAGAGCTGGATACCAGTTCGCAACAAAGTGAAACCCATACATCGAGAAGCTTTTTTGCTTACAGTGATAAACTTGTTAATAGTAAAATTGTTCTAAATATCTCGACCACTTGTTTGTATCTAATGGAGTATTTATGGTCTCAAATAGAAATTTTGGTTGGTTCTGACTCGCTATCTCGCGGTCTTGGATGCAGTGATTTGGTGATGGCGTCAGGACGCCGAGACGGAAGCGGTAGATGGTCGCCGATCATCACAAATTATAATAAGGTGAACAGCAATTCAAAAAAGAGAAGTTAGAAAAAGATTCATTTACAAGCCCGGCAAGTTTGGAAGTGCTCACATGGTGGGCTGGAAGAGGGAGGTGTGACGATCGGACATGCGAAAGTGACTCAATAGTTCAGCATGCGTAGCTGTGGTGGATTTTAGCGGGGCGGAGAGCAATCGATAAGCGGATAGCAGCGCCACCCTCCACTGCAGTGAATTGCTGAACATCCTTGCCATTTTCTCCCGCTAGACGAAGCAAGCCATCGTCCCACCTCCCCTTCTAGCCCACCATTACCCAACTGAACGCCAAAGCAGTACGCGTCCCCAATCTGAGCTCCGCAAAGGCCAGCAGTAGAGAACGTAGGAAGTCTTACATCACTTCCTCCTTATCCGGGATGTGTCTGCAAATGTCACAGGCCCCACACGCGTGGAAATGTAGGAGAGAGACAGAGAGAGGTTCTAGGAACAGGGTGAAAACGGCACTGACAACCCCATGTTTTTTTCTTGTATTTCAATTTATTATGATGTCAGCAGACTACCCAATAAATATTTTGCTACAGAATCACGTAAATTTATTAGGAAAAAATTTTAACTGCTCGAAAGCGAAACCGAAATATTAGCGCGGACGCTCATGCCTGTTGAACATGGACGATATGTGCTGAGTTGGAGGGAGAAACGTTGAGGAGGAAAGCGATGCCGGAAGTCACGTGGCAACACCCAACCGCGTTTTTTTCCTTAGTTTTTTTTTTACTACGACTATCTCATCTCCCTTCCACTTGATGTTCTGCGCTGGAAGATCGAGTGGCCGGTACTACGAACAGTTCCAAAGTAGCGGCCCCACATCCGTCGGAACGTTGGTTGATCGTGTGCCTCCATCGCGCCATCCTGCCCGATGTACCTCGCCGTATTGAAAATGACGGGCGCATGTACTTCCCCTAATGTGAGCAACGTTTTGTTTTCGATTGAAGAATTTCCAGATTTTCTGAGGTCACAAAAAAAAAAGGCTTCGTGCTCTTTACTATTTTAATATTAATTATGTGCCTTAGATGAACCACAACCTTAAATATATTGGGAACACGTAGTTTGAACCCTACGTGACTATGGAAAAGAGAGCGGAACTGAAACCGCCCAAATTTCAACCGTCTGTGTTCGGGCGGAGAGAAAATGAATATCAACCCTTAAATTTCGTTGTGATTAGTTGGGCTCTTCCAGGTAAAGTTTAAATAAAAACCTCGGTGAACGTGAATACCAGTCAGTGTCCTTTTAATGCCTTCTCGCGACTCCTAAACGCATTTTGAGTAAAACTAGTTCCAAACCCTTGGGACGATCACGGTCTTTTTCTTCTGCCTAATGTTCTCTTGTTGCGTGACATGCATGCAGTAGTACTGATGTTCTCTGTAATGAAGAATTAGAGCTCAGCTCTTTAGGAGGAGGTGGGAAGGGTACAGAAGGGAATTTACTCTGCAATTGGGGGACAATTTCCAGGTTACTTTCCCCACTAAATTTAGCAGGAAAATTTCCGAGATAAATTTGTCGGTAAAATTTTAGCCAGAAAACTTCCCCGCTAAATTTGGTGTAAAAATTTCCGCGCTGAATTCAGCGAGAAAATTGCCCGTTAAATTTGGCGGAAAAATTTTCCCGCTTATTGTAGTGGGGAAAGTTTCCCGCTAAATTTAGTTGGGATATACACTCGCTCAATGTGGCAGAAGAATTTTCTGCCAAATTTAATGGGAAAATTTCCTAGCTAAATTTAGCGGGAAAGTATTCTACCAATTACATGCCGTGTGACGTCACCAGGATGGCGTCACTTGTAACTCTCGTGACGTGATCATGACGTCAGTGTGACATTATTATGGGAAGCGTTCCATAAGCAACGCGCGGTTACGCCTTGGAGACGTCGCTCAAACCGGAAACGGGCGCCTAAGGCTGGGTGTGGGCTAAAGCGCACACCCAGCTCGACGTGCGTGGAGCGAAAGCTCGCGCTGCAGAACCCAGGGATCCTGGGTTCGAGCCCCACCCCTGCCCGTTTCGATCTGGGTGAGCATCGTACCGGCGTGCGGTCGTGTATCACTACAGCGTGAGCACGTTCAAGACCCCAGGTTAGCAGTCGTACTGCACTGGCGACAATGCTCATCTACAGTGTTAGCCAGTGTCGCCCCTACTGGCAGACCAGGGTGTAAGATAGACCGGTGGGGAAACGAGAGCCAAATGAGCGACCGGATTGTGTAACCCTCGGTTTTCTCTTTTTTCCGTGGCGCCATCTATGTGGAGCACCGCGAACTCTCACTCCAAGTGGGCGACCGGTGGCGACCGGCTAAACTGACGGAGGTGGTTTCTCGTGGATTTTCAATAGAGGAATGTCGCGCTCTCGGTTTATTTTGCGCACTCTCCCATAAATTATCGTGCAAATCCGATTCCGATTTTTTTCCTCTCGCCGCAGCGCCATCTGTCGCAAATCAGGGGTACCCGCAAGCAGACGAGTACACAATCCGGTCACGGCGCTGCGGTAGGCTTCTATGGGCCGTTTCCTTACCTGCCTATCTTACGCCCTGTGCCAGACCGACCTTACGCTGTATAAATCACTAAAACCTCCTATTTGACTTTGATTTTTCCACACTAACGCCACATGGGGCCCGAGATTAAACCTCACCACTTTCGAGCGCAGCTCTTAGGCGCGCGTTTCCGGGTTGAGCGGCGCCGCCATCGGTGTAACCATTTTGCTAAATTTAGCCGGTTCATGTTTCCTTATTAAATTTAGAGGGAAAACTGAATTGGTGTTCAGGTCACGTGACGTCAATTTCGACTTCAAATTTAGCGTGGAAACTTTGCCGCTAAATTTTGGAGGGAAGTGTTTCCATTAATTATAGCAGAAAATTTTCCCCGCTAAACTTAGCGGGAACATTTTCCCGCTAAATTTAGTGGGAAAAGTTAGTCTGCTAAATTTATCGGAATAAACAAAGAGGGACAAGAAAGAAAGAAAAGGAGAAGCGGAGGGTAAGGAGAAAGAGGAAAGGCATGCCCGCCCCTCCTTCTGCTCAAGAGCTGCGCTCTATTTCGCCTTACAAAGATTTGCAAGCGTCCTTCTTTCTTTTTTTATTAATACACTTCCTAACCGCACGCAAAAGTGAATAATTCGGTATAGGATGGAACAGATCTTCTACCGTTCAGGTAAAAGACACTTCTTAAACCACGCGCATCTTTGTGTAGGAATATTACTTCGTAAACTTGATTTATATGGTATTTGCGGTTTGCCTTTATCGCTTTCGAGGTCCTATTTACACCATCGTAAACAGTATGTTTCCATTGGTAAATATTCATCTGATATCAAACCAGTTAAGTCTGGCGTCCCACAGGGGAGCATACTTGGACAATTTCTTTTTAACATCTATATAAATGATATTGTCAATATAAATCCATCGGCAAAATTTGTAATATATGCTGACGACAGCAGTATATTTTTTTCCGGCACAAGCAGCGATGAACTTATCGATGTCGCCAATTTAACATTGTCTAAATTGTACGCCTGGTCCCGAGATAATGGTCTGAACATTAATACCGAGAAAACAAAAGCCACAATTTTTCGGCCAAAAAACAAGAGTGTAATAATAATGCGAGACATCGTATTGAACTCCGTCCCCATAGAAATCGTCAGCACTTTTAAAACTCTCGGAGTATTCTTTTCAGAACGAATGTCATCGGATAACCACATTGAACACTTAGCCACAAAACTGTCACGTGTTATAGGACTAATATACCGTCACGGTTCTTTCCTACCCGTTAACGTGAAACTATTAATATACAATGCCCTGTTTCAGTCCCATTTAAATTACTGTACCCTCGTTTGGAGTAACACGACGTTCACAAACTTGCAGAAACTATATTTATTGCAAAAACGAATATTGAGAATTATTTGTAATGTGCCTTATGATTACCATAGTGAGGGTTTGTTTCAAAAGTTCAGGATGCTAAAAATATTTAACCTCTATGACTATAGATTATGCATCAGCTTAAAACTCGAGAACAAAAAAAAAATGCGCGTTTCTTGTCAGACTTATTCGAGTTGGTGCCGAACGATCACGTCTATTTAACCCGACACATGGAATATTGGAAGGCTACCGGCTGCAAGACCAACTATGGTACACAAACTCTACGTTACACTATACCTAAATTGCTCAACTACCTCGCCAGCAATGAAATTTGTTTAGACTCCATATCAACTAAAGATTTGCGTTCATTCTATTTGCGCTTATGATTCTTCATCGATGCCTACTATGTTACCTATTATCTACTTGTTTGTTTGAACTGTATAATATTATTTTTAGGGCTACAACAGTGTCTACACTGTAGTGTTTATAATAATTCTGATGAAGTTCTTTTTTTTTTTTTCTTATGTACATGCGTGTGTGTGCGCGCTTTTTTTTTTTTTTTTCTTCTTGTGCTGCTGCGCCTGTCACCGTATGGGGCTTCAGGCTCATCAAGCCTCCACTGGAGGCTTTTTCCCTTCTGCCCCTCCAATTCATCTGGAAAATAAAGTTATTATTATTATTATTATTAAGTTTATAACGCACGCAAGAGTTTCTTACCAAAACCAGATGATACAGCTTCGGTCTCGTCAGATGTTTACTGAGGTAGCTGCGCATGTGCACACTCCAAGAGCCGGTCCGTTACAGTTTTCCTGAAGGGAGTCGAATTTCGTGCGTTTTGGCAGAAAAGAAAATGCTCAGATGCAGCCCCTTGCTACATTACACGCTCTTTCGAAACCCCATTAAGTTCATTACACCGCAAAGATCCTTGG